AAGACGGATAAGCAAAAGACAATGGAGAGTATTTCCCCGTTTTCTTCCTCCTTGCAGGAATATATATTTATGAATGAGACCTTAGAATTCCTGTAACACTACAATTCTGTTATCAGCTTTCCTGCTTCTTGCAGAGGCTTTCTCCTGCCACCAAACCACTCCTCCAGTTTCTGGCCAAGGGAGGGAGCAGTTCAGAAGGCAGCCAGTCAAGAGCCCTTCCCTGCCGCCCATGAAACCTCTCTAGGTGTGTGCAATATACTGCGGTCCTCCTGGGCAGGATTCCTAGAAAGGACAGGAAATAAAGGTGGAGGCGGCAGATCCTCCAGAGCAAAATCCTCTCCCTTGCAAGTCCCTTCCTGCAAGGGAAGTGGCTTTGCCTCTCTGTTGTGCAAGTGAAACCTCAGTAGTGCCTTCTGGGATTTGGCGAGTCTCCTCTCTTCCCCCTAATAAGGAAAAAATCTGGGGTGAGAGACTACTCAACAGCCCAGCTTGTCAGCTTGTCCCCTGCAGATTCATGCAGTCAGTAAAGGAAGGAAGTTTGAACCAAGTAATTTGGAGCAAAACAGCGGTCAGTAGACCATGATCTTTATTGTTGCACAACAGGTTCCCACAGGAGCAAGAAACCCAAGCATGGGGTGACATTGACTTTTAAAACTTCCCATGATATCCTAGAATACAGTTCGTACAGCATCATTGATACATCATCCTTACATCACTGACATGTCACAAAAGGGGAGGAGTACAGAGGGATTGGAAATTAGCGTAGGCCAAATATGTCCAGGCATGTCACTGGCTCCAAAATTAGCATAGGCAGACATCTCCCAACACCTCTTAAGTAGCTATCACCAAAGAACAATAGAACTCCTTACATATCCTTGTCCTGGGGCAAGTCTGGGGATGGGCTGTTGGGATTCTATGGTCAGCTATCAGCATGCCAATTGCCACCCTTGGGCACTCCCTGGGTGGGGTGTTGGGTATGTGCCCTCACGCTTGAGGGATAATGGCAGGAGAGAAAGGTAAAAGGAGTCCTTTCCTCTGAGGGCAAAAATGGCCTTGGAATGGAGGAAATTGGTCCAGGGGTTGATTTTATATGATTTTATAAAGCTTGGTATCTTCCCTAAGCTGTCAAGTCGAAAGGATACATTCAGGCACAATATTTGTAACATTGTAACAAGTGTAAAGATGTGCCCCCCCCCCGGTTTATTTCCGTAGTATCCCACAGGGGGCCTGGGATAGAATGGGGGTCCCAGAGGTGCAGGGCACATACAAAACTTGGCAGAAGATCAAGGGATTCATTCTGATCTCTTGGAGCATTCCTGAGAGCCTAGATGGATGAGCAAGACTCAGCTGACCCCGAAGCAGAAAGAGGCCACGCCCTACAAATTGGGAACAGTGGGGAAGATCCTGGGTAAGGAGGACACCCTTAGCTCAGATGCACAGATCCAGCAGTTCTGTTAACAGGAAGCCGCCTCACCTTAACTCGCCTTCTGAATGTTGCTTGTGTTATTTATCAGTTGTTGCAGTTTTATTTGTATACTGGTCTTTGAATGGTAAAATAGGCTTCTAAAACAGTGGCTGGGATTCACGTAACCAGCCTCATCAGTTGCACAATGGTGCTCCCCCCCCCCACTCCCATGTACCCACTGATGTTGGCTTTAGAATATCAGGTGGTTCCACCCCAGAAATGGAACACGGAGAGGAGAGAGGGGATGCCTTCATCGGGCAATCTGGAATGCCACACACAGTGTGGAGTTCCACCACTATAATTAATGCCCTTCATTAAAATACACAATTGTTAACGGAAAAATCCGAGGGCTCCCTTGGACAAAAACAAAGACACCAACCAGGATTACTTGGAGCAAAACAGGAGCCTGTAGGCTTGGCCTTTATTGATCTGTTGCAACAGGGTGCTCCCCTCCCTTGCAGGACAGAGGAAGGACCCAGAAAAATGGTGCACAAGGCCTTATAAAGACTTTTGAAATTGCCACCCTGTATATCAAGACCACCCCCAGAATCATCATACATACATCACAGAAGGGGTGTAACCTAAGACCACCCCTCAGATACATCATACCTGCATCACAAAAAAGGCGGTCTAAACAGAAATTTGAATGTTGTTGTTTTTCTCCTGTCCTTGTTTATCTCCTGTCTGGCAGGTTACTTGATTGGATTTCCTGGGTAGCCTGGCCCGTCTTTTGTAATGATAAATACTTAGTTCCCGGGCCAGGTCACAGGCTCACACCCTATTCAAACACAGACTTACCCTTAAGACAGGATTTGTTAAGGAAAAGACAATGGGGAGGCTTTTCCATTTTCCTTTGAACTTGCAGAGAAAACATTTGGTCAGTTTGGGACAGTTTGGGAATCAAAATGGTTCCAGGTCGGTCTTCCTGTGCTGATCTTTGTATGTGCTTGGTTGGTGCACTTATGAACATTTAACATATATCTAAGACCTCAAAATTCCTATCAGACAATAAAATAATTCCATTATAACGTTAAAAGAAGCACCCATAATTAAGATGTGCAGCGAAACAATCCCATGAAAACAATGCAGCAATTAACAGAGCAATATGTAATAAATAAATATTTGTGCTGTCTAAGAGGAGAACTTTTCCCTTTTTCTGTTAGGTTCCAATGTGCTTTGAAGATATAGCTATTCATTTCACAGATGAGGAGTGGACTCTGCATAAGGAAGTCATGGAGGAGAATAATGGGATCATGGACTCCACCAGTAAGTCTCCCTGTTTGACCATAATATCTGCTTTGAAATTCAATACATATCTACATGTGATGAAGGTCCACTATTTTGATGGGGCTCAATATTGCTGCCTACAACATCTGGAATTCTAAAATCCCACTGCTAACCTTGAATGGAGGGCTGTTTACTGTTTTGTCTGCAAATATTCTTATTCTTATTTATTCCATGTATACACAGCCCTATACGCGGAAGTCTCAGGGCAGTTCACAAACAAGACCACAACATAAAAACAAACCGAAAACAATATCCCCCCCAAAAAAAACCAAAAGAGGCTTATTCTAAAAGGGTGTTGGATGTCAATAAGATCAACCAAAGGTCTGGTTAAAATGGAACATTTTGGCCGCATGCCGAAAGGTGTTTAATGAAGGCACCAGGTGAACTTACCTGGGGAAAGCATTCCACAGATGGGGAGCCACTGAAGAGAAGGCCTGTTCTCGTGTTGCCACCCTCCGGACCTCTCAAGGAGGAGGCACACAAAGCAGGGCCTCGAAAGATGATCTCAGTGTCCAGGTAGGTTCATATGGAAACAGGTGGTCCTTGAGGCATTGTGGTCCTGAGCTGTTTAAGGCTTTATAGGTCAAAACCAGCACTTTGAACTGGGTCCAGAAACTAATCAGTAGCCAGTGCAGTTGGACCAGGATCGGTGTAATATGCTCAGACCATCTTGCTCCGCTGAGCAACCTGGCTGCTGAATTCTGCACTAGCTGAAGTTTCCAAACCGTCTTTAGAGGCAGTCCTATGTATAACACATTGCAGTAATCTAACCTTGAGGTTACCATAGCATAGACAACAGTAGCTAGGCTATCCTTGTCCAGATAGGGGCATAGCTGGGCCACCAGCTGAAGATGATGGAAGGCACTCCGGGCCACCAGAGCCTCGAACGACAGCAAAGGATCCAGGAGGACCCCCAAGCTATGAGCCTGCTCCTTCAGAGGAAGTGTAACCCCATCAAGAGCAGGTGGCCTTCCAGCCATCTGGTCTAGGGTACCACCCACTAACAGAGCCCCAGTCGTATCTGGATTGTGCTTACTGGATTGAGCATACTGCTGACAACATGCGCCAAACCTCCAGATAACCCCACCCAGCAGTTTAATGTAGATGTTAAACAGCATGGGGGATAGGATTGAGCCCTGCGGAACCCCACATTGATGGTTCCATGGGGCTAAAAATCATTCCCCAAGTAACACCCTCTGGGAACGACCATCCAAGTAGGACTGGAACGACCTCAAAGTGGTGCTGCCCACCCCTAGTGGAGAGTCGCTCCAGAAGGATACCATGGTCGATGGTATCGAAAGCCGCTGAGAGGTCGGGAAGACTTAACAGGGATATGTTTCCCTTGTCTCTCTCTTGACAGAGGTCATCATTCATGGTGACCAAAGCAGTTTCTGTGCCAAAACTGGGCCTAAACCCCAACTGAAATGGATCCAGAAAATCAGTTTCTTCCAAAAGCACCTGGATCAGGTCTATGACCACTCACTCCAGAACCTTGCCCAGGAAATGGAGATTAGCAACTGGCCGGTAGTTAGTTAGGTTTTCTGAATCCAGGGAAGGTTTCTTAAGGAGTGGTTTTACCACTGCGTCCCTCAAACAGGCAGGGACCACCCCCTCTTGTAAAGAGACATTGATCACCTCCCTGGCCCAGCCAGCTGTTCCCTCCCTGATGGTTTTTATCAGCCAGGAGGGGCAAGGGTCTAGAGTGCAAGTGGTCGCTCTGACGGATCCGAGCACCTTGTCCACACCCTCAAGCCTTAGCAACTGAAACTGAGCCAAAACAACAGGCCTAGACTGTGCTCTGGACACCCCTCCAGTTATGCTTTTTAGGCCTGATCAGGCTGGTCTGAACTGCCCAGGCCTTTTTAAATGTAAGCTTCAAAGTAGTTAGGGATGTTGAAGTAGCTTCTGTCAGGTTCTTTGTTATTGGAGATGGAGGGGATGCCATGATTGGGTCAAACAAAATCCATCACACAAAAGAGCTTGGCTTTAAGAATCTCAAATTCCCATAAGTATGTATGTTAAGGCCAGTTAACAAAGGCAGTGCGCCCTGCAATAAGACATCACATCTAATGCCCCTCAGTTTTTCCTCTATCAAAATCATTCATTAGCATTGTTCAATAACTGAGGGATCCATTTCTTCCTGGGACTATAATCTTTTACTCCCTTCATTGTAGGTAGTGATGAATTGGACATTAAGAACAAGGGAAACCACAGCAAAGTCCACAAAGTGGAGAAACCATATAAGTATTCAGAGTATGGCGAGAACTTCATTCAGAGCTCCCGTTGCAATCAAACAAATTCCATTGGGAAGAAATCCTATCAGTGCTTGGAATGTGGAAAGAGCTTCAGTAAGAAGGGCACACTCATAGTCCATCAAAGAATTCATACAGAGGAGAAACCATATCTTTGCATTAAATGTGGTAAGAGCTTCACCCAAAAGGGAAATTTCACTTGCCATCAAAGAATTCATACAGGGGAGAAACCATATCAGTGCATGGAATGTGGAAAGAGCTTCCGTAAGAACTGCCATCTCACTGCCCATCAAAGAATTCATATAGGGGAGAAACCCTATCAGTGCCTTGAATGTGGTAAGAGCTTCAGTGAGAAGCACACACTTATAGACCATCAAAGAATTCATACAGGGGAGAAACCGTATCAGTGCTTGGAATGTGGAAAGAGGTTCAGTCATAGGTCCAATCTTTCTTCCCATCATAAAATTCATACAGGGGAAAATCGTATCAGTGCGTGGAATGTGGAAACAGGTTCAGTCAGAGTGCCCATCTCACAACCCATCAAAGAATTCATACAGAGGAGAAACCATATCAGTGCTTGGAATGTGGTAAGAGCTTCACCCAAAAGGGAAATTTCACTTGCCATCAAAGAATTCATACAGGGGAGAAACCATATCAGTGCATGGAATGTGGAAAGAGCTTCCGTAAGAACTGCCATCTCACTGCCCATCAAAGAATTCATATAGGGGAGAAACCGTATCAGTGCTTGGAATGTGGTAAGAGCTTCAGTGAGAAGCACACACTTATAGACCATCAAAGAATTCATACAGGGGAGAAACCGTATCAGTGCTTGGAATGTGGAAAGAGGTTCAGTCATAGGTCCAATCTTTCTTCCCATCATAAAATTCATACAGGGGAAAAATCGTATCAGTGCGTGGAATGTGGAAACAGGTTCAGTCAGAGTGCCCATCTCACAACCCATCAAAGAATTCATACAGAGGAGAAACCATATCAGTGCTTGGAATGTGGTAAGAGCTTCACCCAAAAGGGAAATTTCACTTGCCATCAAAGAATTCATACAGGGAGAAACCATATCAGTGCATGGAATGTGGAAAGAGCTTCCGTAAGAACTGCCATCTCACTGCCCATCAAAGAATTCATATAGGGGAGAAACCGTATCAGTGCTTGGAATGTGGTAAGAGCTTCAGTGAGAAGCGCACACTCATAGACCATCAAAGAACTCATACAGGGGAGAAACCATATCATTGCTTGGAATGTGGAAAGAGCTTCACCAAAAAGGGAAGTCTCACTTCCCATCATAAAATTCATACAGAGGAGAAACCCTATCAGTGCCTTGAATGTGGTAAGAGCTTCAGTGAGAAGCACACACTTATAGAGCATCAAAGAACTCATACAGGGGAGAAACCGTATCAGTGCTTGGAATGTGGAAAGAGCTTCAGTCATAGGTCCAATCTTTATTCCCATCATAAAATTCATACAGGGGAAAAACCGTATCAGTGCTTGGAATGTGGAAAGAGGTTCAATCAGAGTGCCCATCTCACAACCCATCAAAGAATTCATACAGGGGAGAAACCATATCAGTGCTTGGAATGTGGGAAAAGTTTCAGTCGCAGCACTAGTCTCACTTCTCATCACAGAATTCATACAGGGGGGAGTGACCATTTAAATGCTTGAAATATGGGAGTTACTTTATGGAAGCACAAAGTTTCATTGAAATGAAAGCAGTGGAAAGAGGTTCAGTCACAACACCCATCTCACTTCCCATCAAATAAGCCACAGTGGGGCATAACCATAGAAATGGGTATCTACAAATTTAATTTTAGGAGATTGTGATTTGTCTGCAGGCAAGGATTGCAACAGTGTTTATGTCCTTCAGAAACACAGCAAAGAAGTCAATGTTGTCTCTACAACCATGGGGTGAAAAAGCCTTGCTGAAATTGAGATACACTACATCTACAACATTCCCCTGAACCACCAATGTTGTACCTTTATCATAGTAACCTTTTCCAAATGCTCACTGGCTGACTGTTTATCTGTTCTAGGACCTTTTCCTGGTACTAATGTCAAGCTCACTAGTTTTTCAGTTAATCTAGGTCTTATTTTTCTCCCTTTTTGAAGATGGGAACAACATATTCCCTCCTCCAGTTTGTAGGGACCTCGCCTGTTCTCCAGGAATTCTCAAAGATCATAGACAATGGCTCTGAAATTACATCTGCAAGCTCCTTTAATAACCCTTGGATGCAGCTCATCAGGCCCTGGAGATCCGAATTCATTTAAAGTAGCCTGGTGTTCCCTTACTACCTCTTTTCCTATCTTGGGCTTCAGCTCCCTCTTCACACCATTTATTCTGTTATCACCAGGTTGGGCATCACTTTCCTTTTGGGTAAAGACAAGAGGCGAAGTAGGTGTTGAGTAGTTCCACCTTTTCTCTGTCACCCAATAGCATTTCTCCGTGTTCCCCATGTAGAGGACCTATCACTTGCTTGTTCTTTCTTTTGCTTCAAACATAGCCGAAAAAAACCCTTTTAGAAATTATTTTTAACTTTTCCTGCAAGCCTGAGCTCATTCTGAGCTTTAGCCCACCTGCAACTGTATACTCTTTTGTGATTTTCCCTTTCTTAGAAATGCCCTTCTTGAATCTCAGCTGATCTGTAAGCTCCTTATGCAGCCATCCTGGTATCTTCAGATGCCTCCCACTTTTCTTTCTTGTTGGAATTGTCTGCATTTGGGCCTTCAGTAGTTCGCCTTTTAGAAACTCTCATCCATTTTGGACTCCCTTCTCTTTTGAATATTTTTGACCATTGGATCTCACCCAGTGGCTACTTAAGCATTATAGGAACCGCCAATTCTTTATTCATTTCTTAACACCTGCATATCAAGTTGATTTCTTGATAACAAATATTCATGAAAAATAATTGTGGGGGTTTTGTTGTTGTTCTAGTATCTCGGGGGGTCTCAGAAGCTGAAAATGCTGCTGGTCCAAACAATGTTGTTTAACCAATGTTGTAGCTGTAAACATTGCCATTGGGTTACATCTGATAGCTGATTTTTATCTCGTAACACAGTGTTGGTTAAAAATTCATCTTCAGCATCCATCAGTTGATCCAAAGTCAAAATACTTGCTTCCATCCAATCTTTCCGTATCACCATCTTTCCCCAATTTTTAAAGTTGGATTTCCCTATAAAGTCAATATAGCATGGGAAAATTGGCCACATCTTTTTTTTATTAGACATTCCATAACTTTATAACTGACATAATTCTTTCCAAAGTTCTAACGTATTTCGATCCTAATGCTGTCCATCCAACCAAAGGTGCTATGTATGTATATTCCAAAGTTGCCTAAATGGGGAAATTAACACCAGTTGCTGGTGTCCAGTATTTAACGCCTTACATTGTTTTAAAACTATCAGGAAAATTACATGGGGGAAACCCTCTTGTCGCTCAAGATTCCCCAGGGAAGGTACCTTGTTGGTCAAGGGAAGAACCAAGGGAATGCAGAGCAAAGCCACCAGTAAGCCAGATCCTTATTCAAAGAATACTGCTGCAACAGCAAAGGAAGGAAGGAGAGACCCGCAACAAAAGGGTTTTACATTTTATACCTTTGGATTTGGGTCAGTTCCTGTTGGTGCAAGAATCATTTGTTCTCAGAAACAATGGTGCAGTTTAGTCTGTGTGATGTTCCCAGAAGCTACAAAAAGCCTGGACTGTTTACATCAGATGCAAGGACATGTTGAAGAATGTTACCTGGACGTGCACAGCTCCTGAACTGAACTGTGGGAACTGTCTTAGTCTGATCTCTGCCTTCGAACTGTGAAGATGTAAGCAGAGGGTCTGGTAGCCTATGAGACTGTTAAGCAGACCTCTACCAGGACTCCGATAGAAAAAATGATTTGTATATATCATCTGTAACCATTATGCTTAATGCCAACATTAAAAGACCTATCTCTACTTTGGATGTTTCCTGAGTTTTATTTTCTTCACTCCATGCTTCACTCTGCTAAATGGGGCCAGGGTCTTTGAAAGCATGCTGGTCCCAAGGAAAAAAGTTTGAATTGCCTAAGAAAACTCCTAACAGGCTGTGGTGGACTGTTGATACCGCAACAGGTTATGGGAGTTTGGATATGGCAAATATCCAACAGTTCCTTGGTCAAGGTGACCTCCCTAAAAAGGCCATGGTTATGTGACCAAGAGGTGGTACAAACAGATAGGGTAATTTACAAGGCACAGCTCAAATCAATACATTCCAGGTGTTAAGAAATTCTCCAGTGTAAAGAAAATACAAGTTGATTACATTCAGAACATCCCTTTTCAAATATTGAGCAAAATTTATTCGCTAATTTCACATTTACAAAGATGCATACAATTATGTTTCATTTTAGAGCTGGAAGGGGGGGCGGAATACATGAGATCTGAAGTCTCCAGTACATTGTAAGAGTTCCTGGGACTATGTGCTAGGAGGAATATTCCACATGTCCTTCATGCCTGTATTGGGAAGTTTTGGTCTTCCCCATGTGAGTAAGTGAGAAACAAACCTTTATTTAACTGTATTTCAGCGAGTGTGTGAGCTTTCCCCCTTTAAAACATCAAGAATAGAAAGGTTCCTCTAAATAGGTGCCCCCCTGTTTTATGAGGCCCCTTCTAAGAGTTCTGAATGTTCTATTGCGGTTGCTTATCAGACACAAGAGGTGGCAATGTTGAATTTTTAGGAATATTTCTGTTTGACAGCTCAGGAACCAGTTTTCCTTTACTAAAATACTGCATTGATCAAATGTCTGCTTGGGGAGCTGTGGGTTTGGGTGTGTTTATCTCCACACATCCCTTATGTGGGTGCAATTTTTATAACAACAGTAAGCTCCAGATTCAGAATACTGAATCCTTCCTCATTAATTTGTAGTTGCATTTTCTGTAAATATATTATTGGAATCAAAAACCCCATAGAAAATTTCTAAACAAAGAATTTCTTTTCTGAAAATATTTTATAGATGTATGAACTGGAATTCCTCTCAGAATATAAATTAATATGTAATGTTCTTTTTGAGAGCATTCACCTTCCCTCCAGGATGAGGCTTTTTAAATAGATAAATAAATAATTTTCTATTAAGATGTTCCCATAATACAGTAAAATTATAAGTGCAGAAGATACAAGATTATAACTACAGATGAAAAAAAAGAGAAACAGAAAAAAAGAAAGGGATATTAAAGATAAAGAAAGGAAAAAGAGAAAGAATAATACAATGAAAAACAGAAAGAATCATTAGCGAAAGACAGAAATTTTTTTCCCACCTGCCAGTTACATTAAAAATTATGCTTATTTTAAGCATTTGGTCCATAGGAACATCCATCTCTTTCCTTTGTAGTGAAGACCAGAATAAAGAGCACAAAACATGATTACTATGCAGTACAGTCCAATCTTCTTCATGGTCTTTCGGGGGAAATTTCTTAAAGCTCTAACAGTCCCTGCTGTATCTTCAGTTCTCCAAAGGAGCACAGACCCTGGGTGAGGGTGAAGACTCCTGGAATCCCATGCGTGACTCAGTGGGTGTTGCGGTGGTTGATAACAGTATTAAGAATAAGCAGTCAATACAAAATGCCAATGCAGTAACAAGAAGAGCTTAACACAAGGATGTAGGAAAATCTTATGTCTTCTCACAGGGGCCAACCAGATCCCCTAAAGGGAAGAAGCTAATAATAATAATAATAATAATATAAATAAAATTTATTATTTATACCCTGCCCATCTGGCTGGGTTTCCTGGGCAAGACAGTTCCATGGTTTAACTCTGTGCTGTGTGAAGGAGGACTTTCCTGGCGTCAAACAGTCAGTGGCAATGATGCTTCTGAATACCATTTGCTGGAAACCACAGGAGGGAAGGGTGCGCTTGTGTTCCGCTTGCGGGTTTCCCATTATGGACATCTGGTTGGACACTGCGAGGACATGATGCTGGTCTACATGGGCCACTGGCCTGATCCAGCAGGCTCCCTCTAGGTTCTTATGTTGTGCTCTCATTTCTGGCAAGTCACTGCCAGTTCAGACCCTTGTGAGGAACAGTTGAAGGAGCTGAGGAGGTTTGGCCTGGAGAAGAGAAAGCTGAGAGGTGATATGAGACTCACCTTAAAGGGTTGTTGCATGGAAGATGGAGCAAGCTCGCTTTCTGCTTCTCCCGATGGTAGGTCCCCCTGCGCCTCCAGTGAAGAGCATCATGGGACAGTGCTGGGGTAGACCTCTCTTTGCCCAAGACCCTGGAGAGCTGCTTCCTGCCATAGCAGACTCCATTGGGATGCATGGACCAGCATTCTGATTCAGTCTTCATTGGCAGTAGGGGGTTAACGGCCAGACAGCTAGCCAGCCTGCCTAGCCTTTTCTCTTCCATTCCTTTCTCAGCCCAAGAGCCACATTCCCTTCTGAGGAACCTTCCAGGGGCCACATGTGAGTGATGGGCAGGACCAGAGATAAAAGTAGGTGGAGCAATGAATGTAAATGTTAGCTTTGCACAGTAGGCAAGGTCTGAAAGAGCCATGATCAGACACCTTTCTTTCTTTCTTTCTTTCTTTCTTTCTTTCTTTCTTTCTTCCCTAAAAATTTCATTAGATTTTCATAACTTTTAACGAATTAACTTCAGACTTTAAACTTATTATATAACTTGTATAAAGCGATGGATGTGTGACATAGCTAAAGTGGAAAGTGATAGGGGAAAAGCAATGAGGAGTCACTGGCCCTTGACCTGCCCAGGTGTGGCATTCAGGGGGTGGGACCTCAAGTCACCAAATAGCGAGCCAAATCCGTTGGTAACTCCAGGCCACTGCTGAGACAACTTGTATGTTCTCTTCCACGGCAGGGTCTCTAGCTGTGGTCTTGACCACTCCGTGGTCCTTCTCCATGTTGCTGATCCCCTTCCTGAGAACTGGGGATCCGGGTGCTAGAGAAGTCCTCCAGCTGATGCAGTGGTGTTTCCCATGGATAGAATACCCATGTGCCACTCCAAGGCTTTTTATTCTTCCACTCTCAGTTCCCTTATTCAGCAGTGAGATGCAGCACCAGCAAACAAAAAAGAAAAGAAAATGCTATTCTGGGCTGCATCAACAGAAGTATAGTGCCTGGATAGAAGGAAGTCATGCTCGAATCTAACTTGGTCAGACTCCACCTAGAATTCTATGTCCAGTTTTGGGCACCACAAGTTAAGAAGAATATTGACAAGCTGTAGCATGTGCAGAGGAGGGTGACCATGATGATCAAGGCTCAGAAAAACAAAGTCTTATGAGGAATAGCTGGATTCAATATGTTAAGCCTGGAAAAGAGGAGATTGAGAGAAAGTCTGATAGCTATCTTGAAATATTGAAACGGCTGCCACATTGAAGGTGGGGCAAGCTCATATTCTCCTGCTCTGAAGGGTAGGGCCCTAATCAATGGCTTCAAGTTACAAAAAAATGAGGTTCTGAGTAAACGTCAGGTAGAACCTTCTGAGAGTAGGAGGTGTTTGACAGTGGAACCGACTCCTTGGAAGACGGTGGATTCTCCTTCTTTGCAGGTTTTTAAGCGGAGGTTGGATGGCTATCTGTCTTGCATGCTTCAGTTTAAATTACAGCATTGCAGGAGGTTGGGATAGATGGCCCTTGGAGCCCCTTCCAACTACAGAATTCTACGTTTCTATGATTGTCCTGGTATGCATTCTTTGATGTGAAGTGAGATTGACTCGCTGACTGAAGCTCTTCCCACATTGCAAGCAGTGATATGGTTTCTCCCCTGTATGAATTCTTTCATGCACCGTGAGATTGGACCTCTGATTGAAGCTCTTTCCACATTCCAAGCACTGATATGGTTTCTCACCTGTATGAATTCTTTGATGAGCTGTGAGATGGGTGTTCTGACTGAAGTTCTTTTCACATTCCAAGCACTGATAAGGCTTCTCCCCTGTATGAATTCTTTGATGGGACATGAGGTTGGAACTCTGACTGAAGCTCTTTCCACATTCAGTGCACTTATATGGTTTCTCCCCTGTATGAATTTTTTCATGGGAAGTGAGACTTTCCTTCTGGGTGAAGCTCTTTCCACATTCCATGCACTGATATGGTTTCTCTTCGCTATGAGTTCTTTTATGGGAATTGAGATGGGAGTTCCGACTGAAGGTCTTTCCACATTCCAAGCACTGATAAGGCTTCTCCCCTGTATGAATTCTTTGATGGGACATGAGGTTGGAACTCTGACTGAAGCTCTTTCCACATTCAGTGCACTGATATGGATTCTCAATTGTATGAATTCTTTGATGGGCTGCAAGACTTTCCTTCTGGGTGAAGCTCTTTCTACATTCCAAGCACTTATATGGTTTCTCCCCTGTATGAATTCTTTCATGGGAAGTGAGACTTTCCTTCCAGGTGAAGCTCTTTCCACATTCCATGCACTGATATGGTTTCTCTTCGCTATGAGTTCTTTTATGGGAATTGAGATGGGAGTTCCGACTGAAGGTCTTTCCACATTCCAAGCACTGAAATGGTTTCTCCCCTGTATGAATTCTTTGATGGAAACTGAGATTTAACTTCTGGGTGAAGCTCTTTCCACATTCCAAACACTGAAATGGCTTCTCTCCCGTATGAATTCTTTGATGCACCCTAAGAATGGCACACTGACTAAAGCTCTTCCCACATTCCAGGCAGTGATACGGTTTCTCTCCACTGTGTGTTCTTTGATGGGAAATGAGTTGGGAGTTACGACTGAAGCTCTTTCCACATTCCAAGCACTGATATGGTTTCTCCCCTGTATGAATTCTTTGGTGTGAAGTTAGAGTTTCCTTCCAGGTGAAGCTCTTTCCACATTCCATGCATTGATAGGGTTTTTCCCTTGTATGAATTCTTTGATGAGAAGTGAGACTTTCCTTCCAAGCGAAGTTCTTACCACATTCCAAGCACTGATATGGTTTCTCCCCTGTGTGGATTCTTTGATGGGCTGTGAGATTAGCCCTATGACTAAAGCTCTTTTCACATTCCAAGCACTGATAGGATTTCTTCCCAAAGGGATTTCTTTTCGAGGAAATGAAATGGGACCTTTGACTGAAGTTACCTTCACACTCAGAATATTTATTTCCCTTCTCTATTGTGTAGACATTGTGCTGGTCTCCCTCATTATTAATTTCCAATTCATCACGACCTGCAACAAATAGAGAAACGGATCACAGCCTCAGGGAGAAACACAGCCCTCGATTATTGAAAAATGCTAATTAAGGCTTGGGAAGAAGGCAGAACTGAAGGCAATTAAAAGTAAGGTCTTACAACAGGCTTCACTGCTTTTGTTGACAGCCATTAATGAACATATTTATGGGAACCTGAGTGTCAGGAACGCGTTAGCAATAAATCACATGGAGTAAGTGAAGTTAACTCTTTAAGAGAAGAAGCAGCCTGCTCAGTAGTGTCAGGCCTTACAAACACAGCAACACTTTCCAGTAGGTCTTGCCCCTATGCCTCTAAGAGTCTAAGATTCTATGATTCCAACGTCAGTCATTTCTTTGGTCAACCAGAAACTGACAGAAACTGACCTTGCCCCTATCAGACAGTTATGGGAACTGAAGGTCCCTGCCTTCCCACAACAGACTAAGCCCCCTCTTTCCCTGGATCCTTCCCAAGCGATCTGAAACTCCGCCGGTGGAATTGTCTCTGCTCCTCCCCCTTCATACCTCTTCTGGTTTAGGAAGATGAGTGGGGAGAGGAGCTTGTCACAGCAGGAGGGGGAGACACCCTGGCTTCTTCACTAGCATAACTCTCTTCCTCAGCTTCTGCTTCTGGACTTCTCTCTTCCACAGACTCCCCCTGCTGCTTCCTCCCACCATTGCCCTGCATCCAGCCAGTCCATGAGACAGATTTGAAAAGCCTGGCTCTTTTCTGGCCCAATAATGGAGTTTGCACCATATCCAATGTTAGACATCACTTTGGTCAACCAAACACTAACAGAAGCAGAAACAGAAAAACCTGAAAGAAGCTACTTCAACTTCCATAAGATATCTGAAGCCTGAATTTCTAAAGGACTAGGCAGTTCAGACCAACCAGGTTTAAAAAGGCAAAACTGGAGAATAACTCTATTCACGGTTCACTGTGGGGGTATCGGAATCCCAGATGCTCTTGGTGGTGTTATTGTTTAGCTCCATCAAAACATTGCAGGTTAGTGACACAGAGATACCCATTGAATTTCAAAACAGGTATCATGACCCAACAGGGAGCCTTACCGAGAGAGTCCATAATCCCACAATTCTCCTCCATGACTTCCTTATGCAGAGCTCTCTGGTCAGGATCCAGCAACGCCCACTCCTCGTCTGCAAAATGAACAGCTACATCTTCAAAGCACACCGGACCCTAAAATAAAAAGAGAAAGGTCCCCTTCTTAGACAACATACAGATTATCTACTACACATTGCTCTGTTGTTTTCTGCCTGTTCATTACTGTTTTGTTTTAATGGAATTGTTTTACTGTACATTTTAATTATGGATGCATATTTAAACTTTTTAACAAAACTGTTTTATTGTGTATTTTAATTACTGGTACAGTGGTGCCTCGCAAGACGAAATTAATCCGTTCCGCGAGTGTCTTCGTCTAGCGGTTTTTTCATCTTGCGAAGCAACCCGCTTAGCGGATTAGCGCTATTAGCAGTTTAGCGGCTATTAAAGGCTTAGCGGCTTAGCGGCTTAGCTGCTAAAAGGCTATTAGCGGCTTAGAAAAGGGGGGGGAGCGAAAAAATATCTCAAGACTCGCAAGACATTTTCGTCTTGCGAAGCAAGCCCATAGGGAAATTCGTCCTGCGAAGCACATCGAAAAATGGAAAACCCTTTCATCTAGCGGGTTTTCCGTCTTGCGAGGCATTCGTCTTGCGGGGCACCACTGTATTCATATTTGGGGGAATGGGTGGAACTCCAAATGATGTTCTTCAGATCATTCTGTCTGCTCAAACCCTCTGTTTCCCTCTTTGCTCTCCCTGTCTACTGTTCTGGAGGGGGAAACCTTCACAATGTCACAGGGAGGGGAAGGAGAAGGAAAAGCCATTTAGTGGAACTGGTGGGGCTGGTGAGCTGAGTCCTGGCCACTGTTATTTTATGATTTGCCAACTGCTTAGAAGCCTATTTTAGCATTAAATGATAAACTTAAAAATGAAACTGAAGCTGCTGATAATTAATACTAGCAACATTCAGGAGGCTAGTTAAGGTGAGGTGGTTGTTCGTCATTCTCAGCACAAAAGCCTCTTGGAATGGCCTTTACAGCCATGCTTAAAGGCAGTTTTCAAAGAAGCCAAGAGCAACAGAAGCCTGGCTGCCTCATCTCACAGCCTCTTTGCCCCACAATCCTTCATTCTCCCTACCTGATCTGGTTCCATGGCTGCTGCATCTCTGCCTTCATGCAAAGATGGATAAGCATCTCTTGCCAGCATCATTCTGTCACCTGTGAGAGACAAAGGTAAGTGGCAGGCCATTTTCACATGCTCCTCTTAGAGGTGAAGCAGTGCATCTCTAACTACAGGTGGGCCTGTAAAAAAGTCTCACCTACTGAGTGCATTTTGACATTTGTATCTTAGCTAGGTAAAAATACATGTCCCCACTTTGGGCTCTTGGCCCCTAGCGTCCTCCCCAAAATGTTGGGGGGGGGGGGAACCCACATATTAGTAGCAAAATCTACAGAATGTGTGACCAAATGGGAAAAAACCCTCCTTCCTCCTTACCCAGTGGTCTCTCTTTGGCGTCCAATGGAGTCTTCTCTGCCTCAGAGGAATCCAGGCCCGTTTCTGCAAAGATAATCTTTCCCTAAAAGGGCAAAAGGGATTGGAAGCAGAGAATGGAGAGAAACATTAGAAAAGGACTGGGAGAGGCAAAAGCTTTAGGGGTACCCGATATCATTCCTTGGAGGCTTTCCAAATAAGATTGGGGGATTAAGAGAGAATTTTGGGATACTCTCTCTCATGTTCAGAGCCGCTTCGGAATATCCAGAGGAAAGTCTCTCTCACCTGCTGCTCTGCCTGCTTCCTCTCCTCTGCCTGACTCAGGAGGAATCCTTCGGCCAGGGCCACCGCCTGGGAACTGGTCTGGGCTCCACATTCCCGCACCCAGCTCTCCATCTCTGGCGGAAGGACAGCCAGGAACTGCTCCAAGATCACAAGATCCAGCATCTCAGCTTTTGTGTGCCTTTCTGGCTTCAGCCACTGATGGTCAAGGTTGTAGAGTCGGCTGCAAACCTCTCGAGGTCCTTTGGCCTCCTGGTAGCAGAACGGCCTGAAATTTTGTCTCTGCACTTCTGAGCTGAAGGTGTTCTCCTCACCCTGGATCTTCAGCAGACAGTTTCCCCAGATTCCACCACTGCTCCCAGTTTGGATGGCATGGCCTCTTCCTGCTTCAGGGCCAGCGGACTCTGATTCATCCATCTGGGCTCTCAGGAAGCTTCCAAGAGGTCAGAAGGAATCCCTTGTTCTTCTGCCCAGTTCCGTCTGTCCTAAGTAGAGGCGTTTGCAAATCCTACAAAGCAAATATTGTTCTGTTATGAAACAGATACACGGTCAAGAGAATAAAAAGGTTTCCTGAGAAATTGTGGGTGAATCTTGCTAGGAACCAGGGCTGGACTGAAACATAGTCCAGACTCTGAAGCCAACATCTAGGCCAGACATCCCCTCCAGATGTTTTGGGACTACAAAACCCATCATCCCTAGCTAGCAGGACCAGTGGTCAGGGATGGTGGGAATTGTAGTGCCAAAACATCTGGAGGGCCGAATTTGCGGGTGTCTGATCTAGGCCTTCTAGAAGGGAATTCACCATGCAAAATTTGCAGGAAACATAGGGAATTTGCAGAGGCGTTTGCAACTTCTACAAAGCAAATACACTGTTTTGTTATCTAATTGATACACAGCCAGGAAAAGAAAAAAGTTCCCAGAATCTTATTAGGAACCAGGGCTGGACTGCAACACAGCCCAGACTCTGAACTTTCTTTTTCAAAAAAGGAAAAGGAGAAGCCAGCATCTAAACCATTTTAAAATGGTTGCAATCTGCTATGGAACAGTGGTAATAGTAGTAAAAATACCAACAAACAATAATAAAAATAATAATAACATAAAGCCTCAAGCATGGGAAAAAGCCTCAAGTTACACACAGACCTTCCAGAAACCGGGGGGGGGGGGGGGGGTGTTGGAATCTGCAGTTTTGAGCATTTGCCTTAATCTCAGGCGCTGACCTCTAATAATGAACCATATGTTGTAGATATTCTCGTAAACTAATTGTGAAATACAAATGACAAGAGAAGCCTCGGTCAGTTTATCTGTATCCTTTCTTCTTCCTAGCTTTCTCCTTTTGCTTCAACCCATGAGGTATTTTCCCTCAGAGCCAGAGCAGAGTGTGGGGGTGCAGTGCCTCCGAGGTTCCAGCAGAGGGCGGAAGCCTCTCTCTCTTTCTGATTGGCTGCCAGCCCTTTTGGAGGGAAAACCCGAGGAGCCCTTTCTGAGGGAGAGAGTTGGGCAGGGCCTGATCAGAGAGGGGTATTATTATTATTATTATTCAGAGAGGCTCTTTTCTGAGGGAGAACTGGCTCTGATCTGGGGAGAATCTCTCTAGCCAGAAGAAGGAGTCTCACAGCTTAGACAGGAAGATGACCCAGTAGAGGGTCTGGGGAGAATATGGAGGCAGGAATTAATCTGGAGGGCTGAGTCTGAGGCAGGAGAGGGAGGAGCTGTGGGAAGACGGACTAAACCAGGGTCTCCTTCCAGTCAGGAGGGGAGAGATCTGTTAGGAAAAGGAGATCCCCAAACCAAGAACAAGGGCTGAGAGGATCCCCTGGGTCTGTGGGAAATCCCTCAGGAGTGGGATGGCTAAGAGAGGCGGACAAACAAAAAATGCCCCTCGCTCAGGAACCAAAGTATTAGGCTGAGAAGGAAGCTGCGCTGTATTAAAAGTATTTAAGTGTAACCCTGGTCATAACTAAGTAAATGAACAGAAACCGAGTTAATTCTTTTACCTCCTATGGTAGAAACCTGAACTTCCAACTGAAGTGCAACAAGTGAGCTTTTAGCAACTGAAGTTTAAGAAAAGCTGTGCATGTACTACAGTGACATCCTTAGATTTAGTTTAAGTAGGAAGTTAAGGAGAACACACCTCCTGACCCACATTTGTTTCACAAACTTTTTTTGTAAATAAAACTGTTCTTGTTCGTTCAGCTCTTTCCTAAGACTCTAAATCACTAAGTTTCCCCTCACACAAGATCCTCACAAGGTAGCCTGTGGGAAATTGCAGAAATTCGTGTAATTTGCATACCATGAGGTGGGTCTGGTATATTTAATGGGGGGCATTTAGTGGAGTGAATCCACTCCTTTATTAGTTGATGGTCACTGGTGGGATCCAAGAGCCCAAAGCAGGGTGCACCAATTTTCACATAACTAAAATAAGAAATGGCTGCCAATGTCCAAATGCCCTCGGCACGTGAGGCTTTTTCTGTGGCCCATCTCTCGTTCGCCATGCACAGCTCCACCTCTGACTTCTCATTCACCTTTCTGTCTCACAGATGGCGGAGGGATTCTGGCAAGACCGCCTCATCCATCTTTTCTTGGTGGCGGAGGAGAAGTCGCGGCTGTGGAACCAGATGAGGTGGGGAGAAGGAGCATGGGGGGGGGAGAGACTAGGGGTGTAATTGGCGTACCATGAGGTGGGTCTGCTATATTTAATGGGGGGCAGTTGGCGGGGTGAATCTGCTACACACGGGAAAAAGATAAAGCCTAATACAGGGCTCAGCAATCTTTTTCAGCAGGGGGGCTGGACTATTTTTTTTGGGGGGGGGAATGAACGAATTCCTCAGCCCCACAAATAACCCAGAGATGCATTTTCAATAAAAGGACACATTCCGGATTCACCCCGCCTCCTCCAAGCAGGAAGGGAGCACCCACTCCTGCAGGGAGGCACTGACCCCTCCCTGGCCCAGCCAGCCCCCCCTCCCTGCTCTTTCTCATCCTCCAAGAGGGGCTCAGACTGATCCCAGCACTTAGTCCGCATCCTGCAGCCTGACTGACTGAAACTCCGCAGGACTAGACTGGGCTCTGGACACCCAGGAGACGCCTCTGCTATTGCAGCAAACTCAAGTCTGGGAGGATGAAAGCGATGGTTTCTCCACAAAGCGGTGAGCAGTGTTTGCTATAATAATAATAATAATAATAATAATAATAATAATCTATTTGTACCCCGCCTATCTGGCTGGGTTTCCCCAGCCACTCTGGGCGGCTTCCAAAAAAATATTAAAATACTGTAATACATCAAACATTAAAAGCTTCCCTAAACAGGGCTGCCTTCAGATGTCTTCTAAAAGTCTGGTAGTTGTTGCTCTTTTTGACATCTGATGGGACGGCGTTCCACAGGGCGGGCACCACTACCAAGAAGGCCGTTTGCCTGGTTCCCTGTAACTTGGCTTCTTGCAGTGAGGGAACCACCAGAAGACTCTCGGAGCTGGACCTCAGTGTCCGGGCAGAACGATGGGGGTGGAGATGCTCCTTCAGATATACTGGACCGAGGCCGTTTAGGGCTTTAAAGGCCAGCACCAACACTTTGAACTGTGCTCAGAAACATACTGGGGGCTAATGTAGATATTTCAGGACCAGTGTTATGTGGTCTCGGCGGCCGCTCCCAGTCACCAGTCTAGCCGCCGCATTCTGGATTAGTTGTAATTTCTGGGTCACCTTCAAAGGTAGCCCCACGTAGAGCGCATTGCAGTAGTCCAAGCGGGAGATAACTAGAACATGCACCACTCTGGCGAGACAGTCTGCAGGCAGGGAGGGTCTCATCCTGTGTACCTGATGGAGCTGGTAGACAGCTGCCCTGAACACAGAATTGACCTGTGCCTCCATGGACAGCTGTGAGTCCAGAATGACTCCCAGGCTGCACACCTGGTCCTTCAGGGGCACAGTTACCCCATTCAGGACCAGGGAGTCCTCCACACCTGCCCGCCCCCTGTCCCCCAAAAACAGTACTTCTGTCTTGTCAGGATTCAACCTCAATCTGTTAGCCGCCAGTTTGCTGTAAAGGAAGAACAGGGTTGCAGACCTCCTGCAAAATCACCCGCCCCTTGGCTTTGCAGAGAGCAAGGAGGGGGCGCAGGACCCTCCACTCGCTGATCTTGGGGGGCATGCATGATCTGAACACGGCCCCCCTGCATCCTCGCCTGCAGCCCTGGGACCCCCTTCTCCCCCAAAGGGAGGAAAGAGAGAGAGAGGAGACTCACCAGACTGCAGCAGGAGCCACCCAGGCAGCGAAGCTTGCACAAGACAAAGAAAACATCCACCGCCCGCCCCCCCTTTGCAGGAAGTGACTTGGGAGAGAGGGAGGGGCTTTTGTTCTGGAAGACCTGTCCCCCCCCCCTTCTGTCCTCTCCTCTGTAGGAATTCGGCTCAGTTCCTTTTAACCCTTGGCGAGCCGAGCGCCCCAGCTCATCCCCCCCTCTCTCGCTGCGTTTTCTTCCTCCAGAGCCGGAGCGCAGGAGGAGCCCCGCGCATTGCTGCCCCCCCCCCCAGATGCTGCGTTTTGAGAGATCTGAGCTGGTCTCTCCCTTGGCCTGAAAGAGCTTGCAAGGGAAGCGTGCCCCCCCCCCCCGGGCTGCATCTCCTTTCATCCCCATCCTTGCCTCCTGCTTGGCTGTAGCCAAAACCAGACAAGAACGAACCAGATCCCACGCGCAGCTGAGCCACGTTCACGGGTCGCCCTTCCCCGCAAGGCTGCGGGCCTGGCGAGTTGAAGGGGGGGTGGATGAAGGGCAGCGTCCCTGTCCCACCCCCTTCCTTCCTTCCAGTCTTCTGGGGGCCTGATCCTGGCTGCGATGCTTTGGAGGGGGCCTTTGTCAGGTGGGGATGTGCGCGTGAGTCTTCGGGGGGGACTGAGCATAAAGGATGGATGCAAGCGGAGAAGCCTTTTCCTGCTGCCTGACCCCCCCCCCCGCGCCCTCCATCGGCTGGGAAGACATCATGGCCCTTGCCTCTGGATCTGGGAGACTGTAAAGGATGATAGGAGGGGGCAGAGGGGGGAATTTGGCAAAGGAAGCAGAGTAAGGGCTGCAAAAAAGAGGGGAATCTAGTCTTTTCTGGGAGTGAGCTAGTTTACTGGATAGTTAAAAAGAGAGGGCACTGTACAAAAATGGGGATCTAGCGGGGGGGGTGCTGTTGGGGCTCCGTGCAGCCTTAAAGTTAGGGAGAGCAGATTGGGGAGCTGGGAGGGGAAGCGGTTTCCTCCGAGTTGTGGCCCGTCCCAGGTGAAGCCCGAGTTTCAGGAGTCTGCACCTCCTTCTTTGAAGCCCAGGAAGACACCTCTGCCGCTGTAATCCACTGGTCTACAGATGCCTCAGAGGGTTGAGACCCTGGGGAGATGTCCTGAGGGTCTGAAGTCCCAGGTCCTTGATAGTGGTTCCCAAACATTTTTGGGCCGCAGCCCCCTCCCAACACCCCTAGTGCCTCTTACCACATAAAAGCATTATTCAGAATAGCTGTTTGCACAACCCACTAAGAAAGATAAAAGCACAATAAAATTCCAAACAGCAGCGGTTGCACATTTATTCAAAATCCAATTAAATATACAGTGGTACCTCGGGTTAAGTACTTAATTCATTCCGGAGGTCCGTTCTTAACCTGAAGCACCACTTTAGCTAATGGGGCCTCCTGCTGCTTCCGCGCCGCCAGAGCACGATTTCTGTTCTCATCCTGAAGCAAAGTTCTTAACCTGAAACACTATTTCTGGGTTAGCGGAGTCTGTAACCTGAACCGTATGTAACCTGAACCGTATGTAACCTGAAGCATATGTAACGCAATGTACCACTCTACATAGTTTAATTAATTCATGACAAAACCAATGAACTTGATCAAGTGGTATCAGCTTTTCAAAGTCTGGGAGTTGTATACACTGCCACCCTTTTGCCTCTTAGTGCTCCCCAGGAACAAAACCCTTCGGGGGGGTGTCGCTCACTTTGGGGACAACTGTCCTAGAGGAGACACAGGCTTTAACTGTCGAGGTGGAGTCAAGGGGCGGAGTAAGGTTAGCAAATAGCGAGCCACATCAATTGGTAATTCCAGGCCACCCCTGAGACAACTTGTATGTTGTTGTTTTTTAAAAAGGGGGGGCTTATATGTATATCCTAACCCATAAATATGATATTATTATCATAATACTAATGTAAACATCTTTAGCCTACTACATTTTGTATTAATTTGTTCCAAATATTGTCATATTTTCAAGCAGAGTCTACGTCTGTAAGCAGTCTGTCCATAAATTACAAGTGCTATCATATTATTAATCCGCTGATTAAAGGAGATCATGTCTTTGTTCTTCCAGTTCATCAATATCAGTCACTTAGCTACCATTTTCGTTGTCCCGTTAACTTGCATATAGTAGGTATCTAGTTCAAAAAAATATTCTCTGCTGCAAATTTTAGTTTCTTCTGATCGGCCACAATTATACAAACCAGCATTTTCTCCCAAAACCTAGTACTGTAAGTATATAAAAAGGTAAAGGTAAAGGACCCCTGGACAGTTAGGTCCAGTCAAAGACAACTATGGGGTGTGGCACTCATCTCGCTTCAGGGCGAGGGAGCTGGCTTTTGTCTGCAGTCAGCTTTTCTGGGTCTTGTGGCCAGAATGACTGAACCGCTTCTGGAGCAATTGAACACCATGACGGAAGCCAGAGCACACAGAAACGCCCTTTACCTTACTGCCGCAGAGGTACCTCTTTATCTGCTTGCACTAGTATGCTTTCAAACAGCTAGGTTGGCAGAAGCTGGGACAGAGCAATGGGAGCTCACCACTGTCAAGTGGATTTGAACCACCAGCCTTCTGAATGGCAAGCCCAAGAGACTATAAACCAATGTTTCAGGGAGACATTGTCCTTACCACATCTCCAGCATAATGCAACCTTAGCAAAGCCCTTGAGACTGACCCAGAAACTCCAGCGGGTGCAGAATGCCGCGGCGAGACTCCTTATGGGGTCTTCGCTGCGAGATCACATTCATCCGGTACTATACCAGCTGCACTGGCTCCTGGTGGAGTACAGGATCAGGTTTAAGGTGCTGGTTTTAACCTTTAAAGCCCTATACGGCCTAGGACCCTCGTACCTACGGGACCGCCTCTCCTGGTATGCCCCACAGAGGAACCTACGGTCTGCAAATAAAAACATCCTGAAGGTCCCAGGCCTCAGAGAGGTTAGGCTGGCCTCAACTAGAGCCAGGGCTTTCTCGGCTGCGGCTCCAATCTGGTGGAACAGCTCTGTCACAAGAGACTAGGGCCCTGCGGGACCTGACATCTTTCCGCAAGGCCTGCAAGACAGAGTTGTTCCACCAGGCCTTTGGTCAGGGCCCAGCCTGACTCCCTCCTCTGGCAACCTGCACAGAACTTTGCTTAACGGTTGCCATTAATTTGATTTTAATTAATTTTTATAATGAAATGTTTTAGAATGTTGGATTATTTGATTGTTTGATTATTTGTTTGTTGTTAGCCGCCCTGAGCCTGGCTTTGGCTGGGGAGGGCGGGATATAAATAAAATTTATTATTATTATTATTATTTATACAGACCTCTATGTGGAGTCCAATAGATTCTAAAATACGTTCCCACTGTGCAGGTAATATTGACATTTCTCTGACTGAAGCTCCTTGCATATTCAAAGCACTGATATGGTTTCTCCCTTTAAGAATCATTTGGTGGACTGTGAGGGTGGCACTATGACTGAACCTTTTTCCACATTCAAAGCACTGGTACGGTTTCTCCCCTTTATGAAATCCTCGATGGGAAGTGAGATTTTCCTTCTTGGTGACACTCTTCTCACATTTTGAGAACTGATATGCTTTGTCCCATATGTGAATTCTTTGATGGGAAGTGAGAGTTACTTTATGGGTGAAGCTTTTCCCACATTCTTTTTTAAATCACTGTATGTATTCTTTGATGCACCTAAAGAACGGCACTCTGACTGAAGCTTTTTCCACATTCCGAGAACTGGTATCATTTGTCTCCTATGTGAATTCTTTGATGGACTAAGAGCTTGGCGCTATGACTGAACCTTTTTTTACATTCAAAGCACTGATACGGTTTCTCCCCTGTATGAGTTCTTTCATGGGAAGTGAGACTTCCCTTCTGGGTAAAGCTCTTACCACATTCCATGCACGAATAAGGTTTCTCCTTGCTATGAGTTCTTTTATGGGAATTCAGATGTGAGTTCCGACTGAAGCTCTTTCCACATTCCAAGCACTGAAATGGCTTCTCCCCTGTATGAATTTTTTTATGGGAAGTGAGAGATAATTTAATGGTGAAGCTCTTTCCACATTCCATGCACTGAAATGGCTTCTCTCCTGTATGAACTCTTTGATGGTTCTTAAGGCTAGCACTGTGACTAAAGCTCTTTCCACATTCCAAGCAATGAAATGGCTTCTCACCTGTATGGATTCTTTGATGGGACATGAGACCCGCTCTTTGACTGAATCTCTTCCCACATTCCAAGCACTGAAATGGCTTCTCCCCTGTATGAATTCTGTGATGGAAAGTGAGATTTAATTTCTTGGTGAAGCTCTTCCCACATTCCAAACACTGAAATGGCGTCTCCCCTGTATGAATTATTTGATGCGCTTTAAGGTTGACACTCTGAGTGAAGCTCTTTCCACATTCAAAGCACTTATATGGTTTCTCCTCACTGTGAGTTATTTGATGGGAACTGAGATAAGATTTCCGACTGAAGCTTTTTCCACATTCCAAGCATTGATACGGTTTCTCCCCTTTATGAGTTCTTTGATGAGAAGTGAGAATTTCCTTCTGAGTGAAGCTCTTTCCACATTCTAAGCACTGATATGGTTTCTCCCCTGTATGAGTTCTTTGATGTAAAGTCAGACTAGTCTTCCAACTGAAGCGCCTTCCACATTCCAAGCACTTATATGGTTTTTCCCCTGTATGAATTCTTTGATGGAAAGTCAGGTTTTCCTTCCGGGTGAAGCTCTTTCCACATTCCAAACAGTGAAATGCCTTTTCTGCCGTATGAGTTGTTTGATGAGATGTGAGATGGACCCTCTGACTGAACCTCTTTCCACATTCCATGCACTGAAATGGTTTCTCTCCTGTATGAATTCTTTGATGGGACCTGAGACCTGTGCTCTGACTGAAGCTCCTTCCACATTCCAAGCACTGATATGGTTTCTCCTGCGTATGAATTCTTAGATGAAGAGTGAGACTATCCTTCCGACTGAAGCTCTTCCCACATTCCAAGCACTGATAGGATTTCTTCCTAAAGAGATTTCTTTGGAGGGGAGTGGAATGGGAGCTCTGACTTAAGCTCTCTATATACTCCAAATATGTATATTGCTTCTCCATTGTGTAGACTTTGTCATGGTCTGCCTTGTTCTTCATTTCCGAAACATCACCATCTGTAACAAAGAGAGAAACAGATCACAGTTTTAGGAAGAAAGGCAGCCCTCAATTATTGAACAATGCTAATTAATCCTTGGGACAGAGGAAGAACTGAAGGGAATTAAAGGTAAGGTCTTACTACAAGCTTCACAGCTTTTGTTGACAGGCATTAATGAACATATTTATGGGAACCTGAGTGTCAGGAGTGGGGCAGCAATAAATCACACCGAGTAAGTGAAGTTAACTCTTTATGAGAAGAAACAGGCTGCTCAGAAGTGTCAGGCTACACCATCACAGCAACACTTCTCAGTAGGTCTTGCCCCAACGACTCTAAGATTCTATGATTCCCACATCAGTCATCTCTTTGGTGAATCAAAAACTAACAGAAGCTACTTCAACTTCCCAAACGTCTCTAAAGCCTGCATTTCAAAACTTAAGCAGTTCAGACCAGCCAGATCATGATTTTTAAAAGCAAAACTGGAGGAAGAATATTCACAGACAAAACAGTAGCTAACTCTCCAGTCACAGTTCACTGTGAGGCTGTCAGAACCCCAGATGCTGTGGGTGTTGTTGTTTAGCTCCATTAAAATACTTGAGGTTCATCTCATAGAGATCCATACTGAATTTCAAAAGAGAGATTGTAATCCAAAAGGCAGCCTTACTAGGGACTTCCGGGGAGGTGCCTCCGGTAATGGCGGAATTCCTCTGACCGGGAGGAATCTGCTCCATGGGAATCTGGGTCTGGCCGCCACGGCGAAGGCGGAGACCCGTTAAAATCACAGGCGGGAGAAGCCTGTGAGCGTGGGATTCGGCGGGCACCTTTTGCGCCTCCCCCACTCGCGGCGAACCCCGGTTTTTGGGGGTCCGGAGCGACGTGGGGTGAGCGGCGCGGTGCATCGAATCGTCTGCTTCTTCCACGGAGCGAAGCCGCATAGCTGTTGCCGGAGAGCGCTGACCTTTTCCTGTGGACAATTTGACTTTAAAGTAATTACCCGTGAGTAGAGCTGAAGCGGAAGAATTGGATTTCTAAATGTTTAATTTGGTACCGTAACGGGAGGTTCAAAACAGGAAGTCCGCCTGTCCCTTTGGTAAATAGACTGAGGCAATGAAGTTGCAAGCTGGAGTCCTGGAAAGCCTTTTGTAAAAGATTAAATTTCCATCGGTAAAGAACATTAAACCCCCTCTTGGAGGCAGGAGAAGAGAGGGGGAAGTTGCGGATTGAGTATGCCTGTGGGAGAGAGCGAAGAGATTTAAAACACCGCCGCTCTGACCCTGGAAACGGGCTGCTAGCAGGACTGACATCTTTTGGAATGTTCATTGACAGCGTTTAGAACGTTCATTGACAGCTAGTTAAACAAGAGAAATACATTGTTTCTACTGTCTCCAGCTGCTTTAAAAAGGAGTAAAAGTAACTGAAAATTGAAACTAATTTTGGATTGTTTAAAAGAGGATACTATTGACTATTACAAATAGAAACTGTTTCCCCCTAGTGGAAGCCTTTGAAACCGGTTGCTTTACAAGAGCTGGGCTAGGGGAATTTCCAGCTGCAAGTTAAAAACCATGAGACTCTGGGACTGAACTTGAATCTTTTAAGTGTTATGGTAAATGGAAGAGGAAAAACAGACCAGTCAACTGCTGACAAAACATTAAGGTCTGGGAGGACTTGGCAACAATCCAGGAGAGGTCCATCATCAGGCCCCCCTGCTCCTTCTGTCGCTGCCTTTGTACCAGTATATTTAAAACCAAGAGGAATGTCGACAGAAGAGGCTTTAGTGGCTGCATTATATAAGATAAATGACTCACTGGATCAGCTTAACAGGAAAATGGACACGATAAATGCGAAAGTGGATGTTTCAATTACTAAAATTAACTTAAATACAGAAAGTATAAATAATACCAATACAGAAACCACCCAGAAATTGATACAGGAACCTACTTTGATACGGCAAACTGCGGAGGAAGCCAGGGAAAAGCCGTTGTTGCTGAATGTAAAGTAACACAACTGGAGAGAAAGAGAAAGAGAGCCCCAGCCCTACAGAGGCAATTTGATGAACATAAGTTGACGCTTGCTATGACTGAACTTAAAGAAAAACAGACGAATTTGAGGATTAGAGTTCACCTTTGGTGGACATGCCCAAGGATTAAGACACTTTGGGAGATGATTCATAACGAAATGAAAAAGGTATTTAAATATACCCTTTTGAAGAAACCAGAGGCCTTTCTCCTGGGCATGGTCGGCCAATTGGTGTTAAAGAAGGATAGAACTTTTTTCACGTATGCAACAATAGCAGCAAGAATTCTCATTGTGAAGTATTGGAAGACACAAGATTTATCTACTCAGGAAGAATGGCAGATGAAGTTGATGGACTATATGGAATTGGCGGAAACGACTGGCAGAAATCCGAGACCAGGGAGAAGAGTCGGTGGAAGAAGACTGGAAAAAGTTTAAGACTATTTATAGAAATACTGTAAAAATAATGAATGTTAGAAAAATGTTGGAATGAAGTTATATGGCTTTAGTAGAAATGCTATAAGGAATCAAGTATAAATAGATTAATAGAGTATTAAAGGGAAAAATAAGGTTAGAATGTGTTAAGATAATTATAGGATAGAAAACAGAGGAAGATGGAAAGGAATTGCTGAAACAATTAACAGAATTGGAATACAAAAAGGGAGGTGTGAGGAGGTCTTGGAAATAAGGGAATGAAAGATAAGATATTGAAATTGTTCTTTGTTTTAAATGGTTTGTGTCTTGTTTTGTTAGTCTTATGTGTTAGTGTTTTGTAGTGTTTTTGTATTGTATTGTATTGCTGTATTGTTTTTTTTCCCCTGTTTTGTTGTGTTTAAACGGTTGGAAAATTAATAAATATTATTTTTTCAAAAAAACAAAAGGCAGCCTTACTGAGAGAGTCCATGATCTCATGATTCTCCTCCATGACTTCCTTATGCAGAGCTCTCTGGTCAGGATCCAGCAACGCCCATTCCTCGTCTGTGAAATGAACAGCTACATCTTCAAAGTACACCAGACCCTAAAATAAAAAGGGAAAGGTCCTCTTCTTAGACAACATAGAGATTATCTACTAAACATTGCTCTGGTGTTTTCTGCCTGGCTGCCCCATCTCATAGCCTCTTTTCCCCACAGTGCTCCTTCTCCCTACCTGATCTGTTTCCAGAGCTGATGTTTCTCCTCTGCCTCCATGCAAAGATGGAAGAAGGGGTCTTGGCAGCATCGTTCTGTCACCTGTGAGAGACAAAGGTAAGTGGCAGGCCATTAGCACATGCTTTTCTTCGAGGTGAAGTAGTGCACCTCTAACTACAGATGGGCCTTAGAAAAAGTCTCACCTACTAAGTGCCTTTTAACATTTGTATTTAAAAATACATGTCCCTCATTTGAGATCTGGGACCCAGGTGTCCTCCCCAAAAGATGAAAATAACCCACGACGTATTAGTTTCCAAATCCACAGAATGTGACCAAATGGAGAAAAAAATTCCTTCCTCCTTACCCAGTGGCCTCTCTCTCGTGACCAACGGAGTCCTCTCTGCCTCACAGGAATCCAGGCCCATTTCTGCAAAAATAATCGTTTCCTGAAAGAACAACAGGGATTGAAAACAGAGAATGGAAAGATAAGAAAAAGAACGGGAGAGGCAAAAGCTTTAGGGATATCAGATATCATTCCTTGGAGGCTTTCCAAAAAATATAGGGGGATTAAGAGAGAATTTTGGGATACTCTCCCTCCTGTTAAGTGACCCCTGGGAATATCCAGAGGAAAGTCTCTCTCACCTGCTGCTCTGCCTGCTTCCTCTCCTCTGCCTGACTCAGGAGGAATCCTTCGGCCAGGGCCACCGCCTGGGAACTGGTCTCCGCTCCACATTCTCTCACCCAGCTCTCCATCTCCAGTGGAAGGACAGCCAGGAACTGCTCCAAGATCACCAGGTCCAGCATCTCAGCTTTCGTGTGCCTTTCTGGCTTCAGCCACCGACAGGCAATGTGGTGGAGTCGGCTGCAAACCTCTCGAGGTCCTTTTGCCTCCTGGGAGCTAATTTGCCTTAATTTTTTTCTCTGCATATCTGAGCTGAGGGTGTCCTCCTCACCCAGGATCTTCTGCATGGAGCTTTCCCAGAATCCCCCACTGCTCCCAGTTTGGATGGCATGGCCTCTTCCTGCTTCAGGGCCAGCTGAGTCTTGCTCATCCATCTGGGCTCTCAGGAAGCTTCCAAGAGATCGGAAGGAATCCCTTGTTCTTCTGCCCAGTTCCGTCTGTCCTAAGTAGAGGCGTTTGCAAATCCTACAAAGCAAATATTGTTCTGTTATGAAACAGATACACGGTCAAGAGAATAAAAAGGTTTCCTGAGAAAGTGTGGGTGAATCTTGGTGGGAACCAGGGCTGGACTGAAACATAGCCCAGACTCTGAACTTTCTTTTTCCAAAACGGAAAAGGAGAAGCCAGCATCTAGGCCAGACATCCCCTCCAGATGTTTTGGGACTACAACACCCATCATCCCTAGCTAGCAGGACCAATGGTTAGGGATGGTGTGAAGTGTAGTCCCAAAACATCTGGAGGGCCAAATTTGGGGGTGTCTGATCTAGGCCTTCTAGAAGGGAACGTACCATGCAAAATGTGAGGAAACAGGGATTTTCTGTTGAATGAATCTGCCTGGTTGCTCCTGCCTTTCAGTGTTTTCAGTCAAAGAATGAAGTCAGAACTGTGACTGACAAGTGAGTCATTTCTACGAGTGTAATTTTGACATTAGGCTATAGCCTCTGGAGCCACAGCTGGCGCAGTTTGATCTCGCCCCCAAAGGCACGCTCTCCCATTGTCTCCTGAGACAAGACGGATACCAACCATCCCTGGGATCCTCAAGCATTGCTCTCTGTCCCATCCCCACTTCAGGGTCCATTTCCTTCCTGCTTCTGTCTCATTTCCTAGCACCTGGAATCTGCAAAGTTCTCAAGGCAGACTACTGGGGTGGGATCCCTTTTTCTTACCTATCTAGCCACCCCCTGGGGGCCAAAGGAAAGCACTAAAAAGTGAGTCAAGAAGGGCTCACATTCCTACTGGGATTGTAAGGGACCATTTCCAGCTCCGGCTACTTTGCCAGCCACAGTCCCCTTGGGACAGAGATGACGTGGCCAGGGTATTCCATGCTCAGGATGACATGGGGTTATTGCAATGTCCTCTATGTGGAACTGCCCTTGAAGAAAACTGGCACAAAATGTGGTGGCCAGATTATTGGCTGGGTCCCCTTTCTTTATAAACAGCATTTCTATCCCATATTTTCTCCAAGGAGCTCAAGGTGGCCTCCATGGGTCTACCCTGTCAGGCTTGCTGTCTCTCTCTCTCTCTCTCTTTCTCTCTCTCTCTCTCTCTCTCTCACACACACACACACACACACCCCATGACACTGGCCATTTACTTCATATTTATTAGTCCATCACAAGCCCCAGTTGGAGCTCAGCAATTTCAGTCCTCGCTGGAGGATGGAGTTGCCCGGACTGGGCCCCTCCTCTTCCTTCCCCAACAAGGAAGCCCCCACCGTTTCTTTCCCTCTTTCCCGCGTTTTTGTACAATCCTGGCCAGCCTGCGAGTTTGGGGCGATTCCACCCTCCTTACTTCCTCCAAGTCTGAATCACTATCAGAACTGGCAAGTCGCCTTCTGTCCCTCTGGCTCTCTCTTTCGTTTTTTCTCTGTGTCCAGAGATCAAGGGACTGCTGCTCCCTGCTTCTTCTCCCTCCCCTCTGAATTCCAGGTTTATCTGTTCTCTCTCTGTGCCTGCTTTCATTTGCTGTCAGTGATGCAACGTAGCTGACATACACCTGCTCATTGAATCCCTCTCATTACAACCCTTGAGAGCACATTTAATTTCTGTTTTAAAAAGCTGAACTGGCTGCCATTCATTTCCGAGCCCAGTGCAAGGTGCTCATATGAGTGCTTCACTTTGGCCCCAAATATCTGAAGAGGCACCTCCTTTCCTACAGACCCTCCTGAGTGTGAAGGTTGGTCAAAAGATCCTCTTGGTAGGCTCTTTTCTTAAAAATAAAAATAAAAAATTGTATACATATTCAATTACAATGTTTACACATTCCAATCCATATAACCATACAATAATAATCACTGACTTCCCTTCCCCTCTTCCATAGTTCTGTTTAAATATCCATTACAAGTGCATGTTCTGATTGCTCCTTATATTTTATCCCCCCCCCCCTTCACTATACAGTGGTACCTCGGTTTGCGAACTTAATTCGTTCCGGAAGTCCGTTCTTAAACCAAAACCATTCTTAAACCAAGGTGCACTTTCTCTAATGAGGCCTCCTACCACCTGTGCCCTTCCACTGTTCGGCTTCCGTTCTTAGACCGAGGTAAAGTTCGCAAACCGGAAAACTACCTCTGGTTTTGCGGAGTTCGTATACCGAATAGTTCGTAAACAAGGCTGTTCTTAAATGGAGGTACCACTGTATCTTCATATATTTTAAACTGCTGAATTTACTCTCACTCTGCTGACATTTTGACCTGTTTGCAGTGATTCCTCGGATATTCTACACAAAATTTCCACTCTTCTTTAAAAACTCCATCTTCCTGTTCCCTTATTCTATTCATTAAATTTGTTAATTCTACATATTCCATCAATTTCATCTGCTATTCCTCCTCTGGTTAGTATTGTTCCCTCTTTCTATTTTGGAGCATATGGCATTCGGGCTGCCGTACTTACTGTATGTAGAGAAACAGATTCTTTTGATCTGTGGGAACATCTGTTCCTAGTATTCTTAATAAAATGGTTCTGGACTTTTAATAAAGGTCTTTTTAAACATTTATTTCATTTAATTATATATCATCTCTCATAAATCTTTGGCTTATTTACATGTCCACCACATATGATAAAATGTATCTTCCATTTCTCAATGCTTCTAACAGGGACCTGATTCTGATCTATACATTTTTGCTAGATTACTTGGTGCTAGGTACCACCTATATATCATCTTAGTCCTTTTTCCACATTCCCGCCCCCACTCAATTCTATGTTATGTCCTACATCTCTCGCCCAGGGTATCATAGCGGATTTAACCAACTCATCCTTTGTTTCCCACTCCAACAATAATTTATACATTCTACAAATTATTATTTTTTCTGTAATATCTCTAAGTTCCCTTTCAAATTGTGAACTTTGAAGTCATGAAACCATATTCCTTATCCATGTTAAAGATTCCGTTTAGTTGATAACAGTGAAAACAGTCTGTCACCGCACAGCTAACATCTTCGGGTTTCTTCTTTCTTGCTTTGTAAAGTTCAATAAGTCTCTATATGTTGCCCATGTTCCGTCTTTTCATGGATATTGCTTCAGCAGGTGAGAGCCAAAGTGGTGCCTTCCTTTCAAGCAGGTTTTTAATGTTTGTCCCCTACAAATTCTTCCTAACTACATGATTCAAATAACTCTTATGTATTCTTATGGCATGCCATAGACATGCATGCCAAGTGAATTTAACATCCTGGTCCTCGTCTTGGTAGTTTCACCCCCCTGAGAGATTTGGGTGGGGTTGGCCCAAGAGCGGGCATCCTGGGGGCAGATCCCCCATTGGGGGATTCCCTCCCCACAGAGGCACCTTCCCCTCTTTCCCATGGCCTCTGACAAGAGAGACAGGTGTTTTCAGGACCCAGCCTATTCCTCTGATTATTATTTGTTTTGACTTTAAAAAATATTTTTAAATGGTTGTAAGCTGCTCTGGGTAACTAGTGGAACAGTGGTAACAACAGAAATAATAACAACAGACAAAAATAATAATAATCTGCAGCCTCAAGCATGGAAAATAAACAAACAAATAAAACCTCAAATTACACACAGAGCCTCAAAAATAGAGGCAGGCAGAGGGGCAGTTGTGATTCTGCAGAGTTTTGAGCATTTGGCTTGATCGGGTTGATTTTAATTGAAACATAAATCATTATCTTTGCTTGGAAAGCCCCTCTCACGTTCCATCAATGGACCAACACTTTATATTTTTTTCACTGGTAACAAACAAGGATAAAGGACTGTTTCACCCCACTTAATCTACGCACTTAATCTGCTTCATTGACTACGCAAAAGCCTTTGACTGTGTCGACCACAGCAAACTATGGCAAGTTCTTAAAGAAATGGGAGTGCCTGATCACCTCATCTGTCTCCTGAGAAATCTCTACGTGGGACAAGAAGCTACAGTTAAAACTGGATATGGAACAACTGATTGGTTCAAAATTGGGAAAGGAGTACAACAAGGCTGTATATTGTCCCCCTGCTTATTTAACTTATATGCAGAATTCATCATGCGAAAGGCTGGGCTGGGTGAATCCCAAGCCGGAATTAAGAATGCCGGAAGAAATATCAACAACCTCAGATATGCAGATGACACAACCTTGCTGGCAGAAAGTGAGGAGGAATTAAAGAACCTTTTAATGAGGGTGAAAGAGGAGAGCGCAAAATATGGTCTGAAGCTCAACATCAAAAAAACGAAGATCATGGCCACTGGTCCCATCACCTCCTGGCAAATAGAAGGGGAAGAAATGGAGGCAGTGAGAGATTTTACTTCCTTGGGCTCCATGATCACTGCAGATGGTGACAGCAGTCACAAAATTAAAAAACGCCTGCTTCTTCGGAGAAAAGCAATGACAAACCTAGACAAGCAATGACAAACCCAAACCTCTCCATTCTGAAGGAAATCAGCCCTGAGTGCTCACTGGAAGGACAGGTCATGAAGCTGAGGCTCCAATACTTTGGCCACCTCATGAGAAGAGAAGACTCCCTGGAAAAGACCCTGATGTTGGGAAAGATGGAGGGCGCAAGGAGAAGGGGACGACAGAGGACGAGATGGTGGGACAGTGTTCTTGAAGAGACCAGCATGAGTTTGACTAAACTGCGGGAGGCAGTGGAAGACAGGAGGGCCTGGCGTGCTCTGGTCCACGGGGTCACAAAGAGTCTGACACGACTAAATGACTAAACAACAACAACAACAATCTATGCACTACCCCAGGGGGTCCTGACTAGGCGTTTGGCTGTGCGATGCTCAATGTGATCTGTTAACTCTGCTCCGTCCTGTTTGCCCTTTTTCTGCTTTTGCTTAAACCTAATCACGAAGCAAGAAGTCAGACTCTGTCTGACCTCTAATAATGAAGATTACATTGTAGATATTTCCATTAACCTATTGTGCTATTTTTGTGATGTACCAATGAAAGGGCCCCAAGGCCCTTACGGGGAAGAGAGGGGAGACTCGCCAGATCTCAGAAGGGGCCGCCGAGGCAGCGCTTGCGCAGGAAAATGAAAAAAATGTCTTTTATTTTTGGCGCATATCTTATTTCTGAATGTTTCCGTCTGGCCACAACTTCTATTAACACAAGTGACTGCTGCATAAACCTAAATGCGGTTTCTTTGCTTGCCATTCTCTTCTCCACAAAGCACTGAGCATCCATTGTTACAAAGGAAGGTAATAGCAGACATCCTGCAAAATCACCCTCCTCCTGGCTTTGCAGAGAGCAAGGAGGGGGTGCAGGACCCTGGGGGCATGCATGATCGGAATACGGCCGCCCCTGCACCCTCGCCTGCAGCCCAAAGGGAGGAGAGAGAGAGGAGACTCACCAGATTGCAGCAGAAGCCACCGAGGCAGCGCTTGCAAAGGAGACACACAAAACATCCACCACCCGCCCCCCCCCCTTTGCAGGAAGTGACTTGGGAAGGAGGGGCTTTTGTTCTGGAAGACCTGCCCCCCCCCCCCATTCTGTCCTCTCCTCTGTAGGAATTCGGCTCAGTTCCTTTTAACCCTTCGCAAGCCGAGCGCCCAGCTCATCCCCCCCCTCTCTCTCGCTGCGTTTTCTTCCTCCAGAGCCGGAGCGCAGGAGCCCCGCGCATTGCTGCCCCCCCCCAGATGCTGTGTTTTGAGGGATCTGAGCTGGTCTCTCCCTTGGCCTGAAAGAGCAGGATAAGCTTGCAGGGGAAGCGTGCCCCCCCCCCCGGGCTGCATCTCCTTTCATCCCCAGCCTTGCCTCCTGCTTGGCTGTAGCCAAAACCAGACAAGAAGGAACCAGATCCCACGTGCAGCTGAGCCACGTTCACGGGTCGCCCTTTCCCGCAAGGCTGCGGGCCTGGCGAGTTGAAGGATGGGGGGGGGGTGTAGGGGGAGTCCCACCCCTTCAAGGCAGCGTGCCTGTCCCACCCCCTTCCTTCCTTCCAGTCTTCTGGGGGCCTGATCCTGGACGCCCAGGAAGACACCTCTGCCACTGTAATCCACTGGTCTACAGATGCCTCAGAGGGTTGAGACCCTGAGGAGATGTCCTCCGGGTCTGAAGTCCCAGGTCCTAGGTAAAGGGTACCCCTGACCGTCAGGTCCAGTCGTGGCCGACTACGGGGTTGTGGCGCTCATCTCGCTTTATTGGCCTAGGGAGTCGGCGT